GCTGTGACTGCGACTGCCGTTGCCACTGCGACTGTCATCGCGAATGCGACTGCGACTGCGAGAACAGCAGAATTCTACAACTGGATTCTCATCCGAATCTTAAGGGGAATGCTTCCAGATATGCTCCTGCACATCGCTGTCAGGTTGCTCTGCCGGGATATCCTTCAATGTCCCCCGACCCCCCCAAACTGGCCCTCGGGTTGGGTTGGGGTGGTTTGGTGGGTGGTGACCTGCCCCTGCGCGCGGCAAGGCCTCCGCGCGCGCGCGCCCCCGCCTCCGCCGCGCGCGCGGTGGCAGGCGCGCGCCGCGCTGGGGTCGGGCGGCTCCGCCCCGGCGCGCTGCCCCAGCGAGCTTATCGCTGGACCGATCCCCGTCCCCGGCGGCGTGGCCGGGGCCCCACTGGCCGATTTTGAAGGGGTCCCAGCCAGGACACACAAACAAATACACACAAATAAAAAGATGCCCCCTATGTTTCCAGATGTTCTGGGGTTCTGTCTTCCCCCCCACTTCCCATATTTTCCCATATGTTCCTTGGAGTCGACGATGAATTGCGTCTGTGTGTTTTTTCCCCTCCTGAGATTTACCCCCCTTAGATGGGGATGTGGGCCGCTCCCTTCGGGTTTAGAGGGGCGCCTCCCCTACTGGGGGGGGTAAGTTGGTGGGGGTCTGGAAGGGGATGGGGATGGGGATGGGGATCGGATAAACGATGCTGACCCTCGCGCGCTTCGCGGCCACATATGGAGCTCAGCTTCACCGACTCCCCCAGTGGATCCGTTCACATGGTGCCCCGATCCATTGTACTTCTCGTGGCCCCTCAAGGAAGTCCCCCGACGAGCCCAGGGGCTGCGTCCGCATGGTGCCACGCCCTATTCTGGCGCACCCCCCACACGTTCCGTGTGGGTTGACGCTTTTGGCGTGGCGCCCAGAAGTACCACAGGCCTCGCATAGTGTGTGTGTGTGTGCTCATTGAGCAGTGCAAGGTCTTCGGCACCGCCTGTACTCCGCACCCTCCGGCCGCCTGAAGCCCCGCCCGCCCGCGCCCTGTGTCCCCAATTAGTGCTTCGCGCGCCCCGCCTAGCTCTTAACTGGAAGGGGCCCGCTCCCGACCCGCCGACCAAAAAAGTGTGTGCATTGAGCAGTCCTGATCATTGTCGCCTCGTGTGAAGAGATGGGGATGGGGATCGGTTAAACGATACCGACCAGCACCAGCACCAGCGGGTCGCACCAGCAGCACCAGCACAGCACAGCGCGGAGGAGGAGGAGGAGGAGGAGGAGGAGGAGGAGGAGGAGGAGGAGGAGCTCGGGGCTCCCTTGGGAGCCCTGGAGGCCCTTTTGAAGCCATGCCGTCGTGCTTGGGCGCGCCAGCACAGCGCGGCGCTCCAGGAAGGCCTCCGGGCCCCCTCCCGGGCGCCGGGCGGCCCTCCTCTCGGCGGTCTCGGCCGCGCTGCCGCCGCCCCCCCGCGCACCGAGGCAGCCCCCAAAGCCCTGCGCGCGTCGCTCTGTCGCTCTTCAAGGGCTCCCGGGCTGCGAGCGCGACGCCAGTCTTGAGTCGGGCCTGTCCCCCAGCATACTCAAAACATGCTCGAAAATACGCAAAAAATGGTCCCCAGACGAGTTTCTGACCATTCTTGAATATCACTCCTGTAGAGGGACTGGCCCGACTCAGCGCCAGTCGGGTGTTGCCAGTCTTGAGTCGGGCCTGTCCCCCTACAGGGAGATTTTGGAGGGACAATTCAAATTATCCCGGCAGAGCAACCTGACAGCGATGTGTAGAAGCATAGTTATCTGAAAGCATTCCCCTTAAGATTCAGATGAAAATCCGGTTGTAGAATTCTGCTGTTCTCGCAGTCGCAGTCGCATTCGCGATGACAGTCGCAGCGGCAACGGCAGTCGCAGTCACAGCCTCAGCCTCAGCCTGCCTCAGCCTCAGCCTCAGCCTGCCTCAGCCTCAGCCTGCCTTCAGCCTCAGCCTCACCTGCTTCAGCCTCAGCCTCAGTCTGCTTCAGCCTCAGCCTCAGCCTGCTGCATCAGCCTCAGCCTCAGCCTCAGCCTGCCTCAGCATCAGCCTGCTTCAGCCTCAGCCTCAGCCTGCCTCAGCCTCAGCCTCAGTCTGCTTCAGCCTCAGCCTCAGTCTGCCTTCAGCCTCGGCCTCAGCCTCAGCCTGCCTCAGCCTCAGCCTGCCTCGGCCGCAGCATCAGCCTGCCTCAGCATTCAAAATGTGGCCCAGGAATGGAGTTCTGGGAACTAGAAGAACACGAAGTGGCCTACAGTTGGCTCCGGGCATTCAAAATCATGCCCAGGAATGGAGTTCTGGGAACTTGAAGAGCACGAAGTGGCCTACAGTTGGCTCCGGGCATCCAAAATGTGGCCCGGGAATGGAGTTCTGGGAAATCGAAGAGCACGAAGTGGCCTACAGTTGGCTCCGGGCATCCAAAATGTGGCCCGGGAATGGAGTTCTGGGAACTCGAAGAGCACGAAGTGGCCTACAGTTGGCTCCGGG